GCACTCACCTCCTCAATGCCGGGGATGTTGCTGACAGGCAGCTTCTTCAACGAATTCTGCAACTTCCTGTCATCAGTGTTGGCAGTCTTGTGGACGACCTTGCGCTTCCTGCGTGGCACTCCCTTCCCACCGACACGCACCTGCTCCGACAGCTTGGCGAGCTTGTCACGGTTCATGATGCCAGCTGCGGGTGGGATAAACAGATGGTTTAGCATCACACCATTCAGTCAGTACATGTGGTTGCATGTGGGGCGAGGGAGAATACAGTGGGGGATAGGATTTCACATGCCATTAAATTATTGAGTAACAAGTCTATCATTTTTTAATAGCTTGGACAGATGAAAAGCTAGCTGCAGTTAACTATTTTAGTGCATATTTAATTTTGCAAAGATAAGTATGTGATTAATATCATAATTAAATGAAATTACTAAAACAGAAGCAGTGAAATGACTCAATGCATTAAACTGACTCAAGTGAAACTAAGCAACAGAAAGGCTTTGTTCCAGCAGCAGGTGGCAGGCAGAGCACCTGGTCCACACAATCACCTGCTGCCCACCTGGCCCTGGTTAGCCCCCCCCCCACTCCCAGCCCTTCCCCTCCCACACCTGGCTAAGCCCAAACAACTTCACTCGGCTACCATGAAGTGGCAGCCAGTTTATTGTTGTTTCAGTGGAATCTTCAATGGCACTGGTTCAGTGGAAATGCAGAACTAAATCCTGAGGAGATAAATTCACACCAGCACACAACATTTCAAGTAGAAGTCTGTGCCAGCCAACACTTGATAAGGACTAGTTTTAACAAGAAAAGTAGTCTGTGCACTTTTTATGCATAACAAACCTACAATGAAAAAGCTGTTCCATGGATGACTCTGTTGTGTCCTTTTCTTGGACAATGATACCTATGCCTGCAAAGTAGGTAATTCACCATGGTACCATGTTAGGCCTCAGGGCTCACAGAACACCAGATGAAATACAAATAAGCAGCACACTACACTAACAAGATCTTCTCATGCTTGCCATTGTTTAGTCTGGCCAAATTAGAATTTTAGCAGTCATAAAGACACACAGCAATTCAAGTCCTCAAAAAGGCTCACACCTACACTTCACTGAACATTTGACTCCAGTCGGGGATGGTCTGTGGTTGGTGGGAGCAGCTGCAGCCAACTGAATTCAGTTGAGCCGTGCCCATCTTCTAAGGGCATATTCAACTTTGGCATATAAATGCTCCTGTTGGCTGTTACCCAGTATATGAATTGTGATCAGATGGTAGGGGTCAGGGTCTAAACAACAAACTCTGCTTTACATGGGGTCTCGCTGTGCAGGGCCACCCATCCATTAAAACATTCCAGTTAGCAGCTATTTTTTAAATGCACATAAATCCCGAAAAAATTTATTCGAACAATGGTTCTCCATCATCTGGCAAACGTTATACAACATGCAAGCTTACAACTCTAATTACATTATTAGCAGACACATGCCCTAGGCCGTGACTCATGCTAGGCGATGGGTGTTGGCTGCATGGCATTAGATTAGGGGAGAGTGGGGAAAGATGCCCAGGGTTTTACTATGTCTTATGTTAATCGAAAATGACGATCGGAAAGCCAAAACTTGGAGTTTCAACGGAAGCCGACATCATTTCTTTTCCAAAAATATCACACTTTTGTGCCTGAACTATGATAACTGTTTTGCTATTAAGCATTTTCCTGAAGAAGTGAAAGGGGGCATCTTACCCCACAGGGTGGGAAAGACGCCCCCTGGCGTTGGGGAAGATGCCCCCTGCACTATAAGTGACATAAATGGGCACGTGAATCGCCTGAACGAATCAGTAGTTCCTTCGAGCCTGCAGTAGACACCAAACGTCATCGTAAGGGCCGTCAAAAGTGGTCGTAAGGGGCTTCAGAGGTCATCGTTAGGGCCATCATAGTCCAGCGCGGCCAAACAAGCCTCCGTGGTGGCGTTCGGAGACCACTGTGGGGCCCTTATATGTAGGTCTTCATGATGCTTGATGGCCCTCGAGCCTATCGTGGGGACCTCAGATGCCAGCGCGGCCCGTGGAGCCAACGTGGGAGCCCTCAAAGGATGTCGTGAGAGGCCCTGGAGCCAATAATGGGGCCCACAGAGGCCGTCGTGAGGGCTCTCAGAGTCAGAGGCCACTCAAAAAGTCGCTGTGTGGGCCGAGAGACCGGCATGGGGAGCACCCGACCGTACTGGACTCTCAATACAGTAGGTGGAACTATGGTCATGAGTACCCAAATATAGGAACGTTCCCATTTTTGGGAACGGAGTTCCCAAATATGGGAACGGGCGTTCCCATTTATGGGAACGGAAGGTAATTTTTCGGCCGTTCGCCCACTAAAACTCATTAGTGCATCACGTTTCAAAAAAGTGCACGCTAATTCAAGTATCTACTAAGTCTCTATAAAATTATCTTTAATCTGACCGTTGCACAAGGAAATTGACCGTCGAATGATATTTTTAATGATTTTTTGAAGTGACGGAATGGTGAAAACATGGGTTATTCTACATTTAACATGCAATTTTAAGGAAAATGAAGCGTTTTTTACATTTTGAGGTCAAGTATAATAATTTTCCCCTGGTTATGAAGTTTCATATTAGCGACACCAGATGCTGACATATGCAAGCGAACACGCGGACAGTCCGGGGGTAATATTGTTGACTTTTGGTGTCGGGGCGCACGACCTCGTGGAACGTCAGTGATTTTACCGAACTACTGTTGTAAACTCAGTTTTAGTGGTTTGAAATTATTCAGCTGTATTTTATCAGCCCGGAAAGACATATTTTATTTGGATGCTAGCTGTTTAGCGTTGTTTTATAAGGAGCGTCATGAGCGTGGTTTTTGTCTTCCGTGTTTCTAAGCATGATCGTTTTGGGGGAATTTCTCTTATATAGGTCGCTCTGTGTGGCTTGTTTATAATTTTTATGCTGATTTCGATCATTCCTCGTGCCCATCCTACCAGGCCTTTTGCCACTTACACTCATCAAGAAAGGAAAAAACTAGATTTTCATTGGGACTAGGTGTTTTGAGGGTGTAACATATTCAGCGTTCCCATTTTTGGATACTTCCTTGTGCTCGTCAACTATCGGTGATAAACAGACAGGTGCTTGACATGTCTCCACCCTCGGCGCGGACGGTGGATATAGGTATGGAAGACCTTGTTGAACATCGCTGAGCGTTGTGAATTACGTAATCCTGCAGAGGGGGGCGTGCCCGCTGCGAGATCGACGGGAATAAAAGCGCAGAAGACCGGGCGAAACATGCGACGGTCTTGCCGGAAAGGTCATCTGATGATTGTTGCGTTAACAATAATTTGCGGCGTTGGACGTGATGCTTGTTAATGAAAAGAGCCCTTGAAAGGCGTCGGTGAAATCGTTCCCAATTTTGGGTACGCCGTTCCCATAATAAGGAACGCTTGCAGCGCCAGTGTACGAGAGCGTTCCCAAATTTGGGATCGCGGCCCGGATGATGGACTGCTTTAGAAATAGGGGAACGATTTGAAACTACGATGGGCCTTACAATATCAAACTCTTTCCCAACAATATTGAGACAAATATCAGGCGGTTCACGATCGTTTTATATTTTTTGGACGTCATTTAACGGTTCTTTTTCTTGTTTTAAATAATGCCTACATGGCGTTCCCATATTTGGGTTTATCGTTCCCAAACATGGGAACGAAAATGCGTTCCCGAAAATGGGTACGCTTGACCATAGTTCCGCCTACTGAATAGTCCCAGATCGGCTTTTGTCTCTCATCACAAGCATGTAATAAATGATTTGACGGGCTGCTTGAAGGACAGCCTACGGATTTAGGGGGGCGTCTTTCCCCTTCAGGACAGGGGGCATCTTACCCCAAGGTACTGAAGTAACATTAAATCAGTACAATTTGTTAGCCATAAAACTACACCCTGAAACAAACTATTTGGGACACAGTACACGCATGCTAATGTATCACGACTATAGCAAGGGACGCAAAAATTATCTACCTTCTTTGATATTTACAATGTTTTGACACCAAAATATTTTTTGAAAGCAGCAAATAAAAAACATGCATTCACCAGCCAGCCGTTGCCCAACTGAGCTTCGCAATTTTTTGTGCAGTTACCAAGGCAGGCTTCCGCTTTACGCTAAGAACATTAATTTCCGGGTTCGATTCTTTGTTTCGCCGCTAGAGGGGGTGGGGCGTCTTTCCCACCCTGGGCATCTTATCCCACTCTCCCCTACTATTGCAAAAGCAAAGCGAGGCACACCTGCCGGCAACCGCCTCAACGTGGTTGGTGCGCCGGAAACGTCGACCCGACATCAAACGTTTAATAACGTTGAACAGTTCTTCAGCACGTAATAAATAATAGCAAAAGACAATTCCATTCGTGCTACTTGATCAAATGGAATGCCTGCAAAGATCACCTACCTCTTTTTCCGCCCGGAAAGCACCCTAACCCTCACGGCGGCGCGGACGCACGGGAGGCGCGTTCAAAAGAGATGGTCAATCCTTCAGTCACCAAATTTACCGAATATTTGATGAGTGATCCTGCTCTCAAATATTTTTCTCAAATAGTATTTGAATGCCTTTTAAAGGTTTCTCTTTTCTGTTTACTCTACACAAAATATACTTTGATTATCTTGGCGTTTTGTTCTTTTCGTTGCTTTGTCTCCTCCAGTACTCTGTACTCGTATGAAAAGCATTTCAGTCGGTGTTCGCCCATCTCTATATTAGTTCTTTTCCAAAAAAATATTTGTTCTAATTCTGACGTCATGAAACTGCCAATGGTATGGAACTGGCAGTTCTTGTTCTTACCTTTTACTTTTCGAGTCCTTACATTAAATTCGTGATTTTTGGCGTAGATTAAAAAAAACTTAAGTTTCAACCTAAATTTTGATTTCAATTTCAATTCGATTTCAATTTAATTTCAAATCTTAGCTCATCCCTTGAGTATTACTTATGACGTCAGCTTACTATTTTTCAAGCTTTATACTTCCTGCGATGTTTTGCTTAGAGTACTTAGCCCCCATCCTTGATGCGCGGATTATTTTGAAATTGATATTAATTGATTTATCCTATAGCCTTGGATTTATCAACAAATTGAAATACGAATTCAGCCAACAAATACGGCGTGCAGATGCGCTATGACGTTTGATACGGTATGGTATTTGCTTCAGTTAATTTTTTGCATTTTCCTTGTTATCCATAAATCTATCCATTCCATCGTCGCTTCCATCGCTTCAGCTTCCATCCTAGGATACTGATACTGAAATCCTTCTCCACTCCGCAACCCCCACTCTGTGCTGGACAGTCACCTTTATCTCATGCTGGCTGCTCCCTTGGAGCGGCACCACTGCTCCTGAGGGAGCTCACCCCGTAGCCAGGTGCAGAGAGTGCTTGGATGCAGGGCTGCGGAGTCTGAGTCGGAGTCGGAGTTGGAGTCGGTCGGAGTCGACAGTTGTGACCGGAGTCGGAGTCAGTCGATTTTAGAAAACCGAGCCGGAGTCGGAGTCACCGAAAATCTTTCGACTCCGCAGCCCTGCTAGGTCTGCGGAGTCTGAGTTGGGAGTTGGAGTCAGTCGGAGTTGACAATTCTGCCTGGAGTGGGGGTCGGAGTCGGAGCTGGTTTTTGAAAGCCGGAGTCGGAGTCAGAGTCGCCGAAAATCCATTGACTCTGCAGCCCTGCTTGGATGGCTGGTCGGTCGGCCTGTCCATCGACCATTCGAACGGGCTCAGCCCCGGCGACTCTCGAGGGTGTCTGCCTAGACTGTCTTTTCCTAATTCCTATCATCCTTACAGCTCTGAAATGGTCTCATCAGACCGAAAGGGCCTAACCCCCCCCCCAAAAAAAAAGCTTGGTAGAGCATTTGACTCCCGGTGGTAGTTGAGAGCCTTGGTTCACTTTCAGGGTTTGAGTTGCTCAGATGCTTGATATTTGAAACTCCTTATGGGGATGGTCTGTGGTTGCCAGTTGGTGGGAGCAGCCGCAGCCAATTGAAGTCAGTTAAATAGGACAGGCCATCTCGAGTGTCATTAATTTTATATTACCTACTAAAGGTTTAATTTTTTTCTGTAATATATTAGCATTTACAATTTTTTACCTTGTAGCCAGAAACTGAAAACTTTTTTACATTTTCACATTTTTTTTTTTTTTAGCTCAGTGTAGCCAGCAACAGAAAAATGTTTGCTTTCTTTTGAAACAATTAATGTTGATAGGTCCTTGCAGGTGCCATATTATGGATGATGAAGCTCACATAGTTGCACAGTTCAGGTACCAATGCCAGTTTTGCATTTTTTGACAGCATTGACCTGCAGGTGTTCAATAAAGGTTTGCGTGGCTTGCAGACACAGTCAGTAAGATTACTGGTGCTCAGCCTTGCCTCTTGCCTTTTTGGGTGTTTTTTTTTTATATAGGACATGGATGCTCCATGTTATATTAAATTTCCCATGCCAAATTTCTATGATGAGAATGAGGGTCTGAATCATATCCCAATCCTATCCTATCTTATGTAATTCATGCTGCATGAAGAGTGAAGATGCATTTTCTGAGAAGATCTGTATTTTCACAGGTTGTTTAGAGCAACGAGCCACTGCCACCCCATTCAGTCACAAATAATGTCTCGTCGCCGGGGTCCGACCCCGCGCCATCGCCATCGCTCGCTGAGTCCTCTGCCGGCCGAGGCGGGGGCTGCGCTGTCCCTGGCTCAGGGGGACGTCCAGAAGCTGATCCAGCAGCTGCCGCCCTCCGACGACCTGCTGGAGTACTACCGTGCCAAGACGGATCAGTTTCAGCGCCGGCTGGAGGGGCTGACCGACCGCCTGGACCAGTGAGTGGTGCCGGATCGCGGGAGTCGCCGCTGATTGGGAGGGGTCTAAACTCTGACCAGGGGTGCTGCCGTACGAAGGCAAAACCGATTGCGCTAGGCTGACCCCTGACCTGAGGTAATGATGAGTTGACCTCTGACCCGACTTAGTCGTTTTTTTTTTTCTTGCTTTTGCATGGCAGGGTGGTGCGAACGCGAGTGGTGAAAGAAGACCGATATAATGTAGCTACGCTCCGCTGATATCGATATCGTAACAAACAAAATTGTCCGACCCGATAAAAAGAATAAAAAAATAATCGGAGAACGAATCTTTTCGTCAATGTGCGACACATCTTACTCTCATTAGCATGAAATGGAGCTGTTACTTCTTGTCATTTGAAATGTGCAATGTTCTCTAAAACCAAAATGCCTACCTTTTCTCTTCGCCGAGTCCTCAATTTCTGACAAGTCATGCTCCAACAGCTGGCCGCCATGTCTGCCACTCACCCATCTCGCCCCGCTCTGTCCCCGTCACACAGGTACCGCGCGGCAGTGGAGGACGCCCACGAGCTGCAGGAGCAGCTGACAGCTCGCGACACCGAGCTCTCGCAGCTGCAGCAGGCCATCAGCGATATGCAGGTGTACGTCTTCCAGGAGAGAGACCAGGTGCTCCGACTGCACTCGGAGAATGACAGACTCAAGGTGGGTGGCTGTTCCGCGTGTCGGGTTATGTGTGATACTCGAGTCATACGACGCGGTTATGTCGGTATCGTAGGTTCAAGGAATGGCGTGGCTGATATGAGACGTTTTACGCGATGCTTTGATGTTTGTGCATGGATTATAACTCGTCTCAACTAGTCCTAGCCTTTTCTAGTCCTCGAATCTAGTCAGCTCTGTTTTAACATCCTCGTTTTACTAGTATAACGTTATGGGCTCACTATGGCCTTTGCTGTCGAAGCGCCGTAAAGCCAAAATACTCGTAAAAAGTGATGTTTGTGCATAGCGTTTTTAGCCCTCATGGGATGTGTGCTGCCTGGCTGATCTTACAGACTCGCCGGTAAATGTGGTTATTCTCAGCAGAGTCGTTCGTCACCTATCTGTTTAGACGCGCTTGCGTACTTATTTTTGACTCACTTACCAGCGTTGTCTGATCATCGCTTGTCTGCGCTTAGATCCAGGAGGTGGAGGACCGGCGGAAGATCGACGTGCTGCTCTCGCTCTCCGGTACAACCGAGTCCAGTCTCACCTACTTCATCAAGGAGCTGGACGAGGGGAAGCTGGTGAGGCAGCACCTGCCGCCGCAGCTGAAGGAATTCGCCAAGGAGCTCGACCGCAAAAACAGGCTGGAGGGTGAGTGGACTACTGATTGGTTGCCAATGCTGCCGGTTTGTGCAATTCTGATTGTCCCATGATTACAGCTGGTATGCCTTCTCAATAGCATAATGAAAATCGTGAATTTATTAGCTGCCACCCGAAATGTAAATAAAAGCAGACGTTTACATTTGGGCTTGAAGGAGATTGAGTGACATTTCATTATTCAACAAAGTACGAACGTTTTTTTTATGTGAAGTCCTCAAAGTTTAATCCAGGTCAGCTAAGAGTTTCCTTATTCCGCAACCCGCCTATATGCATGCTATATCACCAACGTCGTTGGTTGGTAGTGATGACGGTATACAGATAATTGCCTGTTGTATACGAGTACATAATTTACAACAGCTTTATTTGTTCTTGCTTTAGGTCACATCGCTTGCCTGCAGACCCACTAACTGACGGCCCCCAGTTCTCATTGACTCACGGTCGCCACTATTCTCCGTTATGCCACAGCCGGTGACGGTGATATGGACGCGAAGCCGGTACCGGACGCGGCCACGCTGCAGCTGGAGCTAGGCTGTGTGCGTGCCCAGCTGGAGGAGCGGACCCGGCTGGCACGCGAGGAGCGCCAGGCACTGCTGGACGATCGCCGAGTCAGCGCTGAGGAGAGACAGGCCGAGAGGGCCAAACGGGACCAGCGGCTGGCCGCCTACAATGCAAAGTACGTGCCATGGAGATGACGGGGTAGCTGTACTGATTACTGAAGGCTGCATTGTAATACAGCTTAAGTGGTGCCTAGCATATATCAATATGCGTTTGCGATATGATCGCGTATTGCCATGCGGGGGGGGGGGGGGCGATTGATGTGAAATATTTGATCACCTCTGATGGTCGAGTCCGCGACGGGCAGTCTGTATGCTAGTCTATGACAGGATCGGCAAGCCCATCACAGGCCTTTACTGACTCTGTCCACCTCCCACTCCCCCACCCTCCCCCAGACTGCACGAGACGCAGAAGCTGCTGTACAGCGCCAGCCGCGACCTGCTGCGGATGCACAGCGAGCACCAGCAGCGCGAGCGCTCCTGGATGGCCGAGAAAGACCAGCTGCTGCGCGAGCGAGAGATGCTCTGTCAGAACCTCAGCGTGCGGCTGCCGGCGCGCTGCGAGCGCGGCTCACAGGCGGAGCCGGCACCGGGACGGAGCGCCGCGAGCGGACCGGACCGGGCCGACCGGCCGGCCACCGCCAATATGGCCGTCATGGCGCGGGCCAACTTCCAGACGGCCTACCAGAAGCTGCGACAGCGCGCCACCGAACTCATGGTGAGAGAGGGGGAACGTGATGCGATAGACGTAACAGTCACAGGGCAACTCAGGGATACGGTCTGTCGGTGTAAAATGAACGGTTCTGTTTGCCTCTACGGTGGCTTGTTATCGTGAGTGGACTGTTCAGTTCAGTAGACAGTGCCTTGAAAAGTTCTTGCATTGCGATGTTAGCTCTATTTTTATGAGTTTTTTTGCGGGTACCGACTCAGTTTGCTGTTCAATCTGCTTTCGATAATTGCTCATTGTTTCTGTACGATTATCCACTTGCCACGGCCCACGTCAAGCATTCATTATTCTTCCCTTATCACTACCACTGACCGACCGTCTCATATTGTTCGCCCCTCTGCTTACAGCATCAATTGGAGGACGCCAACACGCGCTGTGCCCAGTACCGCGAGCAGTGCACGCGACTGGAAAAGTTCGTGTCGGAGGTGCGGGACGCAAGAGAGACGGACCGTGAGGAGTTCAAGGTATGTGTCCGGCGGTCACACTTCCAGGCTGGGTGGGCTGTCGGTTTGTATGCTCATATTCATTGTTTAGGAGTTTTTATGCTTTAGTGCCTTTTGTCTGAGGTGGTCTCAGTGGTCCGTTTTATACAGCCTGGTTCAGAGCAGGGCTGCGAAGTCGGAGTCGGTCGGAACTCGAAGTCGACAGCTCTGACTGGAGTCGGAGTCGATTTAGGAAGCCGGAGTCGGAGTCGGAGTCACCGAAAATCCATCGACTCCGCAGCTCTGGTTCAGAGTAGCAGTTCTCGGTTCGTGTTTCCCAATCGCCATCGAGCCTCGCGAACGGCTAGTTGAATAGACAAGACTTAATTGATTGAGTGTAGACTTAATTGATGAGTGTAGATGTCCATTATTCATAGTTAAATATTTTAGGTCTCCCTTGGTATGCGGCCCCTTGAAATGCGCTGTAGGTACTCAGCTTGCACTGCTTTGTTTTTTATATTTACTGAACAGGACGTTATTTGGGTGTCTCCCAAGTCATTACCGCTAATAATCATACCACTTGCGGTATTTCATTTTCACCGTAGACTTAAAACAACAACAGATTGTTATCATTGTAGATACCTCATGCAGAAGCCGCTGACTTCTAGATGAATGCTAGGTGGAAGACAAAATAAAAAGCACTTAGTTGCTTCACCGCGTCACAGTTATCAAACTAGGATTATTTATTTTCGCGTTAGCTTTCATTGGGGCCATACATGCTCTCTGGAACATTTCAGTCATATGGGCTCTAATTGCCGCTCACAACGCGACGAGCAAAGTACGAATTTGCAATATGCATTGTTTGCGTCGAAAAAGTCATTAGTTTCGTCATAAACACCGTTAAAGCGTCATAACCTGATGACGAAGAATCAAGACGATCGTGAAGTCAGTTTGAGTTCGGTGTTGTGCATTTCGCTTTGACATGCGAAAAGTTATTGTGTATTGGGTCTGGATGCAGGCCATCGAAGGCGGTAAACGGTTGCAGCCTAATGCACCTGGCGAAAGAGCACCATTATAAACGCCTCGTATTTCTTGCTGCCAGCAATCGGCGTTACCAAGGCGCTGCCCCCAACCAACGCTGGCTGGCCGCTGCTGAAAGTCTCTATTCGCTCTACTTTTAGTAGCGTTAGCCAGTCAGCACTATGCATGTGCCCGTGCATTATAAAAGTCTAGATAAAATGAGTGTGCGGTGCTTTCAGATTCAACTTATTTATGCATTGTCTCATGCCAAAATCTTCGTAGAGACATCTGAAGTTATGGCTTTGAAACGACTGTCCTAATGGACATATGCTCCTTGCCTCGATAAAGGTTTTACATGCCCGACAACCTTACCATGTCTACATCGGTGGCTGCTCACGTGCTCAGGCATCATGATTGCGAGCGAATCGACAAAGCTATCAGCATAGGAAGAACAACCGCGTAATGCTTCGATTCATACCCTCCCAAAGCACGTTCTATTTTACGAGCGAACCGCCAGAAGCAATGAGCATGGATAGAACTACCCCGTAATGCTTCGGTTCAGCACCTCCCAAAGCACATGCTATCTGTTTACTCTTAGTTGGCTGCTGCCGTAAGTTTCGATCAAATATGGCCTTCGCATCGCGTTTAGAGCCCGGCCCATAACTAGGTATCTGTATTTGAGTGATTGTTTTGATGACGCTGCAAATGAATGTGTGTTCCCTTCAAGCATGCAAAGCGATTCCACACACTCCGCACTACGGAAAACACCGCGAAGCGCCACAACATTGCAGAATTTAACATCGCTACACAAGCAGCCCCACATAGGCCATTGACCTGAGTGGATTAGCACGATGCACTTACCTGTTTCTTTCCACTCATGCCTCTAATTTCCTGAAGCCTCCAAATAATTAACTTTGTTCACTGCCCTACCGTTACATGAACGTAGTGCGGAAGTGTCAGCATTCTCGGCCATTTCCCGGATTTACACTGGCACGATCATAGTTACCTACCGCACCCGTTGACCCAGACATTTGATGCGCGCCCCCAGCGCTAACACAGCCCTGGAGGGCCGTTCGGACGGAAACCGCCGACAGCATGACGTCAGATGCATAGGCGGCTCATGCCATGGATGTAGGTACTCGGAGCATGAACCAGCTGGGGGAAACTGCCTGGTGCCATTATGGATCATAGGGGAGAGTGGGGCACATTCGTGCATGGGGCACATTTGTTCATGGCAGTTTATGGGAACACGAGTGGCTGTCCATGCTCAAGGTAAATTATAAAAAACATTCCTAACATTGCCGCCCCTCGTTCACTGTAGAAAACAACGTTGTACCTGCTCTCATCCTTGATAAAAACGAAAAGTTGTATTATTCGTGCACTTTCCATGACTCGGAAATGTGGTTCAGCTTTTTAAAATTGGCGGCGAAGAAGCTCACTCTATTCACGGAACTGCTGCAAACTTGTTTTGTTGCAAAAGTGTTATTTTTTCAACAAAATTGTTTGAAATACATTAAAAATACCGTTGTGGGGCAGGTTCGTGCACGCACTGGCTAGGGGCACATTCGTACATATTTTTTTTTTCGTTTTTGCGATTTATGACTTCATCTGTAGTAGGTTTCACTTATGACGCTCGCCTGACTCAGTCTCGGCTACTTGCGACGTCGTGACAAGTAATTCACGCGACCTTGGCGAGGTCACGGAGGCAGGTCGATGACCGGCAGTTGGCACATTCTCGTTGGCCAGCCTATTCTTTCTACATACATATGTTGTGCAATGCATTCTTGTCGAAGGAAATCGAGTGGAATGGCCCCCTGCCAATTTCTTTTGGTAAATTTCTGGTAATGCCCGGTAATTTCTCGAACTTTGCAGGGTGCACGGAAGTGCCCCACCCCTTGCATGAATGTGCCCCTACCTGGGGCAGGTTCGTGCAAACGTACAGAGTTATTAAAAGTCATTTTTATAATAGATGCGATAATTTTAGAGGAAAACTTTTAAAGAGGAAAAATATCTGCAATAGTTCCTTTTCCATGCTACAATCAACAATTCTACCCTTGCACCAACCAAAGAACAGGTATATGGATTTATCCATTTTTTTTTGCACGAATATGCCCCACTCTCCCCTACATTACTGCCGATAGCTTGGTAACTGGGCCGACATTGGCAACGAACGCCGTCCTCGTAAAACTGATTGGAAATATATTGATCACGCACTGAGTTGTTAATGCTCATCTGTTTACGGTGACCTATTTTGTTACATGTGTGCTAGAGATGCCACAAATTTGCAATTTCATTACCCACCCCGCCCCGCAGCTACCCCTTGCCCAACCACAACTACCCGCAAGCTGATTTTGGCTGAGCCGAACCCGCAAAAAAAACCGCAATTTTTAAAAACCTGCTTTTGCAAGAAAAAATACAGCTGGGTCAATGCTAGAGCTATATAAACCTTACTTGCTTCATTGCTGTGCAGAAAAAGACAGCCAATCAAATAGTAAGGACTTGAAATTGCTATGCTAAGTCCTCAGGAAGTGCACACTGGATAGTGGAAAATGAACAATGCATCAATATATTTGAAATTCCTTTCTGAAAAGAGTTCAGTAAAATCTTTCTCTCACCTTACCCTTCAGCATTGGCTGAGGATCAAAATTTCACTCTGGCTCCCTCTCAATGTTAGGCTTCTGGAATGATATTGCTATCAAAATGAATGTTGATACAAAAAGATATGCGATTTCCAGTTAAAAATGAATAGTGACACGGTGAATAATGAGCATCCAGTCGATCTACACATAAAACAAATCTGTTATGCCTTGTAGACAGCTGGGTGACTTTGGACGAAATTGTGAGAAATAATGGCGAAGGCCTGTAGGATGTTTTGTGTTATGGTCAGTCGGTATGTTAATACTTACTTATCTCGTACGGCTGAAACTATGTATTTTGAAAAATAGGTGACCTATGTGATGCTATTTTTGCTAGCCAAATATTTCATGAGTGGTGCGAGTGAGCTAGTGGGCACGATTCAACCATAAATTTTTGTTGAAAGGCAGTTGGAAATGCGGCAAATGGAAATGCTATCTTTTCTAATTTGAAACTGTTTGAAAAAGACCTGTGGTCGAAATATTACATCTTTCAAATAAAGAATATATTTGTACAGCATTAGTTTTGGCAATTATCGAGGAAATAAGGTCATGTTTTTACATTTTTTACATTTTCTACTATTATTGAACATGTTCCTCGCACAAGCACTAACCTCATTAAAACAAATCATGCAAAATCCCAGCAAAAACCAACTAACCACCACAATGAACCACGCATTTCTGAAAACATGCGTCAGAAGCGTCACCAACAGCTGATTGCAAGGAATGTTACAGCGACTAAATTATTGCAGCCGTAGTTAGTGCAAACTTGTTGCGAAAACACCGTTGTATAATGCATATTCATGTGCCATTCTGATAAAAATATTTTACACAATAGTTCAAGTTTTACAATTCAGAGGTTAATCACCGGAATACCTAAAGAGACAGTAAATACTAAATCAAATGTAATAATTTTATAGATGGTCTTGGTAATGCTCTCCGGATGGTTCTCTCTCGGCATACAAATTATAAGGACGTAAAAAGACAAAAAAAAATAAATGCGACCAGCTACGTGGTTTTGTAACATGTATAACTGCTATTTTGAGGCATTCAAAAACCAAGACAGAGAAATTGATTGTAAAATTATTATTGCGTCATCAATGACAGCTTTCCTTCGCCTCAGAGACCAAAATTGACTCAGTCAAATGCCAATCCTTGTCAGAATGTCGGAAGTGCGCCAGTATTGTATTGCGTTATGTTTGGGCCGCATGCCAGTCAATATTTTGATTTTTTTGTAACAGTAAGGGTAATTGGTGTGCTATTTTCGTAATATTAGGTGGGACAGAACATAGAGTAGGATAGGTAATCAATAAATTTGCATCAAAGTTTGTTTAGCTGATAGCTCTTTTTTATGCCGACCAGACGCAAATAAAGTAACATGTGGCATTTGCTCTGATTTTCAACATTGACATCTCATTTAAGTCTGGGTTCTTCCATAATGTACATCTAGTGCACACTGCACATAGACTTCAGTTCAGCTTCCTATAAGTTTGCTTTCAGGTTCTTTTATGTTTTATGGAATGCTTTCATCCCTATTTATGCTTTGTAGTTTGTTGCTTGTACCCTGCTTTGGTCATTGCTAGACTGTGGATTAGAGATGCCACTTTTGAGCCCGCGAACCCGCTTTCTGCGGGTTTTGAAAACCCGCAGGGTTTTTGGCGGGTTCGAGAAGCAAAACTTGTCGTGTGGCGGGTATTTGGCGGTCAGACTTAAGAACCTTTAATTTTTTTTTTTAGATGCAAAACACAATGCCAAGTGCATTTGCTCAGGTTAACAATACAATATTGATCAAAACAACTCTTAAAACAGAACAAATATAAAAATATATCATGGAAGCACATTTCAAATGCAAAACTGAAAACAACCAGCAATGGCATCCACAGTCTAGCAATGACCAAAGCAGGGTACAAGCAACAAACTACAAAGCATAAATAGGGATGAAAGCATTCCATAAAACATAAAAGAACCTGAAAGCAAACTTATAGGAAGCTGAACTGAAGTCTATGTGCAGTGTGCACTAGATGTACATTATGGAAGAACCCAGACTTAAATGAGATGTCAATGTTGAAAATCAGAGCAAATGCCACATGTTACTTTATTTGCGTCTGGTCGGCATAAAAAAGAGCTATCAGCTAAACAAACTTTGATGCAAATTTATTGATTACCTATCCTACTCTATGTTCTGTCCCACCTAATATTTCGAAAATAGCACACCAATTACCCTTACTGTTACAAAAAAAAATCAAAATATTGACTGGCATGCGGCCCAAACATAACGCAATACAATACTGGCGCACTTCCGACATTCTGACAAGGATTGGCATTTGACTGAGTCAATTTTGGTCTCTGAGGCGAAGGAAAGCTGTCATTGATGACGCAATAATAATTTTACAATCAATTTCTCTGTCTTGGTTTTTAAATGCCTCAAAATAGCAGTTATACATGTTACAAAACCACGTAGCTGGTCGCATTTATTTTTTTTGTCTTTTTACGTCCTTATAATTTGTATGCCGAGAGAGAACCATCCGGAGAGCATTACCAAGACCATCTATAAAATTATTACATTTGATTTAGTATTTACTGTCTCTTTAGGTATTCCGGTGATTAACCTCTGAATTGTAAAACTTGAACTATTGTGTAAAATATTTTTATCAGAATGGCACATGAATATGCATTATACAACGGTGTTTTCGCAACAAGTTTGCACTAACTACGGCTGCAATAATTTAGTCGCTGTAACATTCCTTGCAATCAGCTGTTGGTGACGCTTCTGACGCATGTTTTCAGAGGGCTGTTCACGGGCCCTGTGTGCGGTCGGACCGCACACAGCCTCCAAGCTCCGCCCACTGCGTCCCTACGTCAGCCTTCCGTCACCGCACACAGCGATCGCTGTGGCCGGTCGGGACTGGCCACAGCGGACCGTCCACCGCACGCAGCCGTGACGTCAGAACCGCCTACCCATCCCCTACCCCCACGCCTGCTGGACGCACCGCACACAGCGCACGCAGCAGTGTGCGGTGCCCGTGAACACCCCTCAGAAATGCGTGGTTCATTGTGGTGGTTAGTTGGTTTTTGCTGGGATTTTGCATGATTTGTTTTATGTGTAGATCGACTGGATGCTCATTATTCACCGTGTCACTATTCATTTTTAACTGGAAATCGCATATCTTTTTGTATCAACATTCATTTTGATAGCAATATCATTCCAGAAGCCTAACATTGAGAGGGAGCCAGAGTGAAATTTTGATCCTCAGCCAATGCTGAAGGGTAAGGTGAGAGAAAGATTTTACTGAACTCTTTTCAGAAAGGAATTTCAAATATATTGATGCATTGTTCATTTTCCACTATCCAGTGTGCACTTCCTGAGGACTTAGCATAGCAATTTCAAGTCCTTACTATTTGATTGGCTGTCTTTTTCTGCACAGCAATGAAGCAAGTAAGGTTTATATAGCTCTAGCATTGACCCAGCTGTATTTTTTTCTTGCAAAAGCAGGTTTTTAAAAATTGCGGTTTTTTTTGCGGGTTCGGCTCAGCCAAAATCAGCTTGCGGGTAGTTGTGGTTGGGCAAGGGGTAGCTGCGGGGCGGGGTGGGTAATGAAATTGCAAATTTGTGGCATCTCTACTGTGGATGCCATTGCTGGTTGTTTTCAGTTTTGCATTTGAAATGTGCTTCCATGATATATTTTTATATTTGTTCTGTTTTAAGAGTTGTTTTGATCAATATTGTATTGTTAACCTGAGCAAATGCACTTGGCATTGTGTTTTGCATCTAAAAAAAAAAAAATTAAAGGTTCTTAAGTCTGACCGCCAAATACCCGCCACACGACAAGTTTTGCTTCTCGAACCCGCCAAAAACCCTGCGGGTTTTCAAAACCCGCAGAAAGCGGGTTCGCGGGCTCAAAAGTGGCATCTCTAATGTGTGCTGCTTTATGCTTCTGTGGCTTGAAAGGGATTGAAGTTGTGGGTAAACAAAAATAGTAAGGATCACCACATCCTTACAGTCCATGCTCCGTATCCAACTCGCATTTTGTTTATGTTCAGCGGTGACTCCCCATCTCCTGGCCTCAAGTCCCTGCCCTTTTGTTGGACATCTTTGGCAGTATGATATCAAAACCCCCTGCCCCTTCCCTTTCAGGAGCGCCTCTCACGTATGCGCGACTCTGTACTCACCATGAAGAACCGGTACGACGAGCTGGAGCGTCGGCGTCGGCTCGAGGCCGAGGGGTTCCGCAGTGACGTGCGTCTCCTGCGCGGCGACGTGCGCGCCCTCGAGAGGAAGCTGGGCAAGCTCACCGGACAGTTCTTCGGAGACGTGGATCAGCATGCCAGCAGAGAGGTGAGGGACGTCGTGGTCGCATGGGCAAGGCGGGTTTTAGGGGTTGTGCCAACTGCCAGGGGGTACGCTCCAGTCTTTCAACATTACGAAAGTGGGGACATTTGCGCTAGCGTTGTCAGCACCGTGAGCTTTCTAAGCAAAAATGCAGTGATCCCAACAATCAGCGTAAGTCAATACTTGACGATCATTGGCTGATAAGCCAGTGACGATTTTGGGGCCAGAGCGTTAGAGATGTAACCTATGGCAGCACGGGCCGTTCAGTTTAGGACTTGATTTTGATATTATTTAGGCCAGTTTGATAAAAAAAAACTCGGATCGTTTATGAAAACTGCAATTCATTCATGTACTGGTCCAACAAGTCTTTTTGCTTTTTTCTGAAATAATTCATTGAAAAATGAGTTACTAGAAGATGCTTACTCATGCCAAATTTGTCCCCTTACCATGGCAACCTGAGTTTGTTTGGCCCCCCAAAGTCGTGGTTACTAAATTCATTTTTGTCCCCACTTTTTCGTCTGGAGCGTTCTACCTGGTCTGCATAGGCTTGGGTTGTGCGAAGCAGTAGTGTTGCATGGTGAATTGAACGCTTCCAATATATTTTCAACCTAAGGTAGCACTGTATTTTCATCACATTGAATGGCTTAGCCAAAGAGCGCATGTTAACTGTATTACATGATTGGTAGAAAATTGTGTATGCCATCATATGACTAATGGAGGATGTAATTCCTAGGATTCCACGAGCTGAATGCCCGCTGCTTCATCGACCCATGAGAAACTACAACGTTGTATTGAGAATGAGGTCCTGCACATTAGAACACAAGCTTCCGTTTCCGCATTGCATGATCGCGTCAAACGCTTTGCAATGCTTGTCATGTACATATAATATTGGTAACGCTGGAGTACAGATGCCTAGCAAACGAGGCCCTATGCAATATGGACGACGACTAAAAGGATGAAGTCCCCCACGGGAGCCTGAAATTTGCATTCCTCAGCACGTTGCTTTTTCGCAATGCTGTATGATTTAACCGTGCAATAAAGCTATGAGTGTGAAGTTTTTATGGTAAGGTAATGTTTTGACTCCAGCCCGGTAACCACAAACAATATATTGGAATGTGCTCGTTTTGTACTGCAGTAATTGCGATGATTGTAATACTCAATTATATACCTGAGTATGTTTTTCCTACTCGGTTTATAACCCACCCACCGTTGTCCACATTTGTTGAGGTTTTTAGTCATCTGCTGCTAAGTTGCGGTAAATATTTGCATTTTAAGACGTAGTAATGAGCATAACTTCCAAGTTGTTGTAAAAATGGCCAATGACATCAAATCGTATTGGAACCCAAACCTACCCTCAGACCATCTATGGCCCCAACCACACTAGCGCCTCTGTTGGCGACTTCTAAGCAGCCGACTGAGGTCTGCAAGCGGTCGTGTGCGTTTGTCCGACCGATCTGTGAAATCGGCTCAGCGAGCTCCTCCCAGCCGATGCTGGTATTCGAGCTGCTGACCGGATCCAATGACCGATGACACCCGTGACTGGTGCGACCGGGCGCCGTAGGATCCTGATCATAACCAGCTTCTGGTCCAACGTGGCTGGCATCGACATAGGTATCCTAAACTTGTGCCCATAGCTTGTTGTTTACGCAGGGTCAATGGCTCCCTTGTACCTCGCTCGTTTTATTGTATACATATCGCAACCATAGGGCTGCAGCCATTTACGACCGGAGTTATAAGGTTGGTCACTCTCTGGGGCATTATCGTCTTCGATACTGTGCTTTGTTTGGGACAGTACTCGTAATGTAATTCCACCCTTACCTCAGATATTTTTCATGTCGGGGGTTAATCACACTCAAAAAGTGTGACAAGGCCCTTCTATCTCCCGCTTCTGTCTTCTATTTAAACTCTTCAAATATTACATTGGTTTCCCGAGTGCTGTAAGTATGCGTTAGATTCATTTATATTGTTCTATTTTGTTCCATCATTTAGATTTGTTATGTGAAAATCAACCATGAAATCGTCATCAACATCAAAGCATCATCATTAACCACCAATTCAACCAATCCACGGATCATATTTTTTTTTTTGCAACCTGTCTCAAAGGATGATGTTTTTTGACGCCGGTCTTGGATTTATTCGCCTAGGTATCGTTTTAGAGCACTACTAGCCCATGAATCATTACATCCCATGTCACAACTGACATTGGGAAGTAGAGACCATAGTGGGGTGATCCCGTTCCAGATATGTAGCTTGGGGCAGTTGCAACTAGTCCATTTACAAATTGATCGCAATGATGTGTTATCTTCTGCCACCCGCTCTTCCCTTTTTGTCGACAAATAGAATATTTCAATGGAGTACACTAGCTCTTTATTGTGCCACCGTAACCACTTAGTCGTGAAGCCACGATCCAACATTAATTGTGTTTGGTGAAAGTTGTGCACTCACTGTGCCATAGACAACGGCCTAGCTTACCGTTCAGGGTTGGATAAAAGCCGGCTTAAATTGAATTTATGCCAGCCAGTGGTTTAAACCGGTTTAAACCGGTTTAAACCGGCTTAAATTAATAAAAACCACATTCAGTCAAAACATCTACTATAACTTATCTTGTGGGTCAGTGTACTCGTTGGTGAATGTGCAGAGTGCACGAAGTCAATACCTGTGTCATATAGAGGATTCTTCATGGCTCCGAGTGGAAGATAAGGATATCTTTTCCAAGCGGGTTACTGAAAAACCGAGCGACGAAGGAGCGAGGTTTTTCTGTAACACGCGAGGAAAAGATATCCGATCTTCCACGAGTGAGCCATGAGGAATCCTATATCTTTCTATGTTGAGGTTTATTCTTAATTTATAAAATATTATATTTTAATGCACTTATCTATGTAAAAATAGATTCAGAGTAGTTTGTTCTTATTTCATAAGTTTCATCCATAAACAACCATGAAAAATGTCGTTCGGTTAATGACCCATCATCACATGAACTCTTGATTTTTCGCTATGAACCCTCGAGACCTTATCTTTGCATCTCAGAGGGATGCAGATATAACAAATGCTTATCTTTGCATCTCAGAGGAGTGCGAGATAGAAATATCCCTGCACTGTAGACCCAATGGCAAATAAACCTCAACTAGAAAGATTTGGTATTATGTCAACATTTTGGCATGTGATTATGTTGACAATATGGGGCCGTATTCACGTCGATCATTTTCGTAAGAATTTTCTTACGCACGACCTACTTCTTACGAAAATTTGGTATTCACGTCGACAGCAAAAATATCTTACGAATAAAAAAATTCTAGTAGACAGTTTGCGATTCACGTCGACCTTTTCTTAAGAATTCTCGTAAGAATGTCGTAAGTGCGATTCACGTCGTGTCATCTTAAGAATTTCTTAAGTTTTTCGTAAGAACATAATGTTAACGGTATGGTGGACTTACGAATACTCACCGAGCTGTCGTAAACTGACGCAACGATAAATCAGTGCAGTAGCTAAGACTAAAATGACGAATTATTTTAAGAATTGACACTAATGGTTGTCTAGACTAAGAATGGCTGTTATTATTGAGCAAAATTATTACCAGCGAGCGAGTGAAGCGAAGTCTTTTCAATAAAACGGGAAAATATCACATGGTGTGTCAAAAGTGGAAATAGCCGGTGCACCGTCTGGCAACCCGGCAGCCCGCCGCCATAGGGAAATTCATGCTTTTTGTCGCTTTTTCGCTCCTTATGAGTCACTTGATCTTATTAGAGCTTAACTAGGAACGAGGCGGGTCACTTGGACGTATTCGGGAGCCGAGTACGGTGTTTTGGAGCCAATACCTGGGAAACCCTACCCGCCCAATGCGAGTTTTTAAGAGCCTGCATGCCCAAATTAACGTTGAGCGCGGCCGTTTTCGGTCGGTTTTCCGCGACCTTGTGGCGAAATCGCCTTAACCAGGGTGGACTAATTCGCTTAACTAGGAATGAGGCGTTGAAGAGAATTATTCAAGGAATAGAGCTGTACAAACATATTTTTTGTATTGTTAAAACTGTATCCGCCCTCGAACGATAAATATTGTTGACCCATCAGGAACACATCCCCTGGAATGCGTTTGGACTTGGCTGGATCTAATGTTAGCGAGTATCTGCTAATGCAGTTTCTTGGCTTACATAGCACGCACACAAGCATACATACTTCCTGCCCTTGGTTAACCCTCACTTGAATGAAAATATTGCTATAATAACTATTCCAAGCAGTTAACAGGTTTTAGTGCAGTGCCAAGTCGGAACCGTTCAGCGCCCTCGCCAGTCTCCCAGGCGGCGCGTAACGGCCGCCGCCGGCCGCCGCGCCGCCGCTCTGGCAAGGTGTTTGACTTCATATCCCTGTTGCTAGAAAAGTTGTGGACCGATTTACTTGATTCTTGCATGAAAAGATCCGCCATTCAATTCTTAGCAGATAAAGAAAATTTGACGTCAATTGCACGATCCGCTGCCCATATTGTGGTACTGCCATCTATTGACAAGGCTGGCGAACTAAAGCCGGGCGGCTATTTCCACTTTTGACACACCATGGTATGAGCGGCCCGGCCCGGCCTGTAATGCTTTTGGAGGCCTATATCTCATCAACCGCTGGACTGATAGACCTGTGGTCTTTTTGTTGGGCTGCCCCATCCCTTCTAACCCGCAATTTACTATCTTGATGCATCTAATTGACCATCGTGGCACGTGCCACGTGAGAAGTCAAGGGCGTCCAAGCTGTTTTGCAGAAGTAGCGCTTTTGAGACTACCAATTTCTCAAAGTGGGCTTATATCTCAGCAACCACTGCATTAGGACGTTTGACTTGCGGTAATTCTTTAGGGTAGCTGTAGCCCTTCTACTTAACATCGGGTACTCTTGATTCATGTGAGTGACCACCCGCTGCACGTGCAAAGTACAAACAGGTGTCACGTTTGTTCTTATTACAATAACTCGGCAATTACCGGCCCGATTGTGTTGAAACTTGGCATGTGGGTAGGCACCTACCGGGAAATGCGTTGTCATATGTCATGGTTGAGGTGCTACTGCACGTGCGCACGAGCAGGGGTCGCTTCCAGATGTCGAGAACGCCTGGACCGTTTGCACTCAAACTTGGCACACGGTTATAGGGACCGGTGCGAAGGGTGCCGGGCAAAATCCAGTTTGAACCATTTTACACGTGCGCACGTGCAGGGTGCCACTTCTACATCTCAAGAACAGCTGGGCTGATTGCGCTCAAGTTTGGTCAGCGGCCAAGCCGATCAGCGGCAAAAAGGCTTTCTTTCTAAAAAAAAAGGCTTAAAAAGGCAAGAAAGCCTTCAAAAAGGCTTTCTTGTAACTTTCTATACCTATGTATGGGGGTACAGGTGCTTCCCCATCCACTAAAAGTGCATGTCCATCAATGTCAAGAAATAAGGCACCTCATACAGAAGTTGGGCTTGCCCAGTAGAAGAGGGGCGCCCCCAACACTTAACCCTCGCCCCGTTGGGGCGAGGGTTAAGTGTGGTTTTTCCTGAATAGCAAGAAAGCGGCGGCGCGCAGCGCCGCCAAATTTTCAGTACCTTCCCGGGCATAAATTTGACACCTTCACACCAAATTTCAAGTCTTAGGTCACCTTAGGTCAGGAGTTATTGAGCCCAAACTGAGGTCATGTTCGAGCAAAAATGAGCAAAAAACATGCAATCTTGAAACGCTCACCAAATCTACAGTTATCAAGCAATTTCAAAGTTCTTTATATGGTCTAGTAGACAAAAAGCGGCGCTACAAAACTGCTATCTCGGATTTTCATATTTTTGGGGTTTTGACCTAAAAAAATTCAAAAAATGATTTTTTTATAAAAAAAGATGATGAAGATTTAATAATCGAAACGCGTCCATGCACTATTTGTTCCGTGTTTTTCTACTTGTCTCTATCAATTATATACAATGGATATTTGTGTAAATCCCTACAAGGAGGATGCCTAAATCTCAATGATTAAGGCAAAGGTCAATGCACCAAACGCTTCTTACGAATTTCTTAAGATATTCCTACGAATTTTGACGTGAATACCGATTTTTGTAGATATCCAGACATTTCGTAAGAAAAAACTTAAGAAGTGTCGACATGAATACCAAATTATACTTACGAAAGAAAATTGACTTACGAAGTCGACGTGAATACGGCCCCTGGTCAGTAGGTAACTAAGCTAAGAAACAAAGTAGGGATAAGGCATAAGCACATTCTAATCTTAACATTCGGTTTACCAGTTTAAAAGTCTCACTTTATTTTACATGTAAAATGTATTCTGACCAATCGTCTGGGGACTGGGCCAGAAACACTAGAAAAAAAAAAATTATTTATCATGGTAGGTACTAGGTATCACCCATTCTGTGATTTAATTGCACAGGAAATAATTGTAACAAGTCATCATTTATAAATCTTCTGTAATGTTCCTATGGTTTGTGTTTTTTCAGGTAGTGCATGTTGTTTTCTTGGTACAACAGTGTCCCTAACTAATCACACTTATTATTGTTTTTTACATGTACTTTGGAGCCTATAATGGTGGCCGTGCTGTCAATTCCTTTGTTTAGTGTCACTGACTGCTTAAGCAATAGACAGTTCCCTAGTAAATAGGCAATGTTCTGTATGATAGTTCTTAGGCCTTACCATTCAGTGATCCTTGCACCATGCATTTGGCATTAGGTCATGTTTGCTACAGCTTCCCATAAAATTGAAATTGGTTTCTTTATTGAAGCTGTCTCCAAGACCTTTCATTCCATAAACCACCCATGTAAACAACTAGTTGTGTAAAACACTGCAAATCAAAATAAACATTTGATACAGGGTGATACAGATCAATAATGAATCACATAAAGTCAACCCCCAGGAAAAAAACATTACAAGTTAGCATGTAAAATTGAAAGGTGTGTATAGAAAATGTGAAGAGAAGAAGCAGTTTAACCCAAGTGATGTTACGACAAGTTAACGTAAGTGGCTTTTATTATGTTGGTGCACACTGGTTTAAACCGGGGTGGCTTAAATTAGTTTATGCCAGCCGGTTTAATCCATGGATTAAACCGGTTTAAACCGGCTGCTGGCATAAATTTGCCAACCCTGTTACCGTTTGTGTACGTTTGTCTGGACGCAACGGTGTGCGGCGGCTATTGGTCATTATAGTGAGTGGGGACATGTTACAGAATAGTTACGATACTATTTTTCCAGTCAGCTGATGCGCAGTCTGGCGGGCGGTGTTCAGGCCCGGGAACGGTGATAATGTCGCTTCCTTGTGGATCAGCAGTTAATTGGCTATGTGTTTGATTTGACTCTTCCGGGACAATAGGATTGGTAAACAATACACGACTCAGTTGACTGATTTGACGCGCCATTGAAGAGTAATTCACCATATCCTCCCCAACCCTTCACTTGATTTACAAATATGTAATATTGTGTGCTGTGCTTGTTGTCCCTCTGTTCACTATAGGGACTGAAGCCGCGGCCCGTTCGATTTTTTTCCACGAAGCTGCCCGTCTCACAGACCGAAGCAGGACGATGCCACTGCTGTGTGTCTGCATGCAGACGTGTTTAACCCTCGCCGGACCTATTGGTTTTCTACATACGCGCCGGCCGAGGGGGGGGGGCGGGTACGACCCCCCCCCCTCGCCGTTTCGCCCCTGGTGGAGCTAGCGCGTCGCGGAAAAAACGAGCGTGTGCGCCGTTACGAGACGCAGAGATTGGTACCCGATTTTAAGGTCCTAGGTCAACCGGTGACCTCTGAGGTCAGGTCAAGTGCCCCAAGGTACGGTTCAGTTTTTGGTGAATAACTTCGCAAAAAACGGCCGCAGAGCGCCGATTTTGGCAGCATCGTGTTCGTCTCGCTCAGGCGCGTCGAATGATATACTTTTTGTCCGGGTCAGGTCAACTTGGGGTGTTGACCTCAGTTCAAGGTCAGGTCAGCACCCCCAGGTCACGAAGTTGGTCGAAAGGGGTCATGTCGCATATCATCCGATTCGGCAGGTCTTCCTGAGTCCATTGGTGGCTTTCCCGGCTCGTTAGCTCAATTTGATCAAGAGTTATTGACGAAAAACTAATATGACCTTGATGACGTCATAAATGACGTCACGCAAGGTCAACATTGCAAAAGTGACGCATCTAACCTTGCAAGGAGTGCATAAAATCACGATTCTGTGTGCTTGAGATAGTTGGAGATCGTTCCCGGCGCCAGAATAGCAGTTTGAATTTTTCCCCATTGACTTATAATGGTGAGGTCACGAAAATGACCTGACCTCATATGACCTTTAGGAAAAATCCGAGATATACAAGTTGTGGGACTCATAATGGATACTAGATCCTGCAAGTTTCATTTCCCTGTGACATCTCCTCTGGCAGTGAGGGCGTTGCGAAGTTGCGACATCTGAAGACCGTGCAGAGGTTCACTTATGACGTCATAGGTCAGTGACCTGACCTGACCCAAAAATGCGGTTGGTGTCAAAAGATGCGGCTTGGATCAAAGGTCAGGTATGCCAAGTTTCAGCTCTCTATCGCCAGCGTGTTCGGAGCTATCGCGAAAAAACCCTATGGGGGGGGCGGCACCCGCCCCCCCCCCCCTCGGCCGGCGAGGGTTAATGCGAGCCTGGACGGGCGACAGACAGTTTGATTGCCTGTTTGTCCGGACACAGTGGCTCCCCACTTTGCGAAGTGCCGCTATGCAGCCGTCACTGTCACTGTCGCGCTAGGTCATCAGTATCTGTCTACTGATATATTCGGATATATACGACATCAATTGGTTTGGTTTCACAACACAAGCTAGAGCAGAAGTTAGAAATCGCCAGACTGCTTTGGTTTTCCGCTCGCTTCTTGCTTTTGTACAGTTAACGTAGTGTTTTTGCATTTTCTAATGGTGTTTCTACACTCTGTTTAATTACGTTTAGGTTTTATTATAAGTCTGTTTGCTCTTCTACAGCCCTTGAAATGTCAATGCTGGTAGAGTATCGTTACTTGTCTCGTATAGCTCAGTTCCTGTCCGATTTCCTAGCCTGTGAACAGTTCTCAGCCTGCAAATGTAATCAGTGTAAGTGGCTCCACGTAATTGAGGCTCCACGGCAGACCGGCCTCCCTAAACACTACCGCGGGTTTCGCCCTAGACCAGTATATACCATTCGGCCGATGGTCGGTGAAGTACCTGCTACAGTAGGTACCTACTGCACCGCTCGCTGCAATCGACCACAGTAGAGACCACTCTACCGAAGATGTAAACAGACTAATTGATGAGGCTGCAGACATGTCGCAATTTGCAACGTAGAGATACTTTGTCTGAGTGTTAGCAATGTATGCATCGATGTTTGCTTTCAGGCCGTTGTGTTATTACTTATTCCAAACATATGTAGTCGTCTCCTTTCCTTTGTTTATTTCTATCTTTAACTTTCTGCTTTGTGCACAATTATACAATACCGATGTTTTCTTTTCCGCAGGTCTGGTCTCAGATGTCGCGAAATCTGGGCAACACGGCCAAAATTCTGGAGGAGATACGTCGCTCCAAGACTCAGATCTACCAGCTGGAGCGGGAGCTGGCGGGTCTGTGGGGCACTGGTCAGCAGGCCGGTAGGTGATGACCGATCCTACAGGACCGACGTAGGTCTCACTACTTCGTTCTCACTACTCTCTCGGTCTACGAGTGCAGACACTGAGCACCGCAGTGACTCGCGCCGACATCAGCTGAAAAAAAACGCCCCATATCACACAGTGGTGTTATGACGCATGACGAATTTCGTTGTCTCGAGACATCCGTGAGGTTTGACCACAGTACCTGAAACTTTGGACGTTCAGATGGCTGGACATTGTGCAGCGACGCATTGGACGCTGCGTTACGCCGGGAACGGCTTGTGGTGCATGATGCGAACACAGCGAAACAGCGGCCGGCAGACTTTGCGCTGTGGCTGTGAACGGGCGCTGCGCGGCGCTCACGACGTGTCCTGTGCTCTGTGATACCATGCTCGTGTGAATGTTCGGGTAGATTCAGCGCACTCAGTGGTGGTCACTGGGGAGACTTTCTGTAGTTGCCTGTCCAATGTCCATAGCTCGTACACAGTTCGGAGCTGCTCGGGCGGAGATAGGAGCAGAGACGAGAGCTGTGCTGTGCGTGCCTTAGTGTGTTTGTTTGTTTGGGGGAGGGAGGGTATGCGCACGAATCGACCTTATCGAGCACGCTCCACAGCGGTCGGTATAGCCACTTTGTGGTCCGAAAATCTCCTCACTCTGTTCAATCGTTGTATATTTTCCCCAAGATCGAATTTGGAGATATAAAACCATTATGGCACCTGTTTACGTGTAATTAGATTTCATTGAGTTTTCGCTCTTCAAAAATAATATTTTGCTGTTAGAAAGCAAAACTTTTTGGTGTAGAAAATCATTCCGCCGGGTGTCATTCCATGGTGGTACATCTTCAAGTATTCGAGTTTGCAAGAGCTCTACACTCACTCGTCGTTACTCAATCTCGGGGAAGCATTGAGCCGTTTAATGCTATATCGGGAGTAACACTGATGACAATGGTATTATGTGTTTTAACGAGCGCACCACTTATACATTTCAGTAATAAACTTATGTATCGAAGTTTTTTCGTGGGGTCCATAAGATTATATTTCATTTGAACATGTCAACGTTTTCCATTACACACTACACTTGCATAGCCTACTTCAAGTCCTTACATTGCTATGTTTGTGTCGTTTACATAGTATGCAGACGTGGAGTCTCGTGTATTTGTCCATTATTATTATCGATTCGACGCCGAAATTATTCGTGCTATAAGACTTCAGTAAATGGTATCACCGATCGCTGGCACTCTATCGTGTCGGCTAGGTAGGGAGTGTGTCACTCTCAGCCACTCTATTTAATTTGGACCGCCAGTGATAACGCCTGGATGTCGTAGTTGACCTTTCCTTTTCCGCCTTAACTTCCTTTCGTCTGGATGCCTGACATACGTTCCTTTGCTTCCGCCACTGGATATTTCCTCTGCATTCATGTATTCGACATTCGGCAATCACATCAAGGCAGCATGGGGACACCGACAGTCGTGCTGATTGCCGAAGGCCAAAAGCTGTTCGGGGAATCCTTCATAAAAGTGAAAGTCACATGCATGTCTCTGAAATCCTAGCAAACTCTGTAGGTATAAAGCGTTGTTATATGATATAGAGGGTAATGAATTCATGCGCTTACCAATGCTCCTGTTTTACTCGATGGCTTCGCGATCTCGAGGTCAAAGCGTCTCTTTGTATCTCCCATCAAGTCCACAGTTCTACACTCGTGGCCGTTCACCCTGATCGGGTCTGCCGCGGGCGCCGATTCGTTCAGGATGGCCGACAGTCCGCGACCATCGTTATCATCTCTCCAGATGACGCCGTGAAGGAGGCACGTCCGCCGCGATATCTCGTGCATCTCATACACGTGCAAAACCGTCATCCCACCGGATCAGCGGCATCTGACCGGCTACTGGTCTCTGGAGGAGGTTGCAAACGGTCTACCATTATTGCGGTCCTTCCGTGGTATCTCCCGTTAGGTGGCCCGGGTGCCATCTGCTGCCGGGGTCGCCGCACTCCGCTGGTTCTTTTTAGATGGTGTTATGGGATGAATGGATAGCGATGTCCCGCGAGAAGTGTTATTGAAAGGGTCATTTAACCCTCGCCGGACCTATTGGTTTTCTACATACGCGCCGGCCGAGGGGGGGAGGCGGGTACCCAGCCAGCAATTCGTCCGGGATGCGGTTGGGGACGGTCGGGATAGGCTCCGGATGTCCCGACTTGTCCCCACCGGGTTGGGTAGGCTTGGGTTGTCCCAATCGATACCGGACCTCGATGGCCGGCGGTAGGGGCGACTCGGGATTTCCGGACGGCATGCTTAACGGTTGGGACGCGGTACGGATAGCCCAATCGAATCCCATGTTTAGACAGGCTTGTGATTTACGTTGTTATCCCAACCGATCTGAGAAGGCGCTTCGGGCACCATATCCGGTGGCCCAGAAAGCCTGGAAAAGCAATCAGATGGGCCGCGTGCAGGCAGACGCGTCCTCTGAGCGCAGCGGCCAGTCTAGCTGCCGCGTCGGTCAAGTGTCGATCCCTCCTTTGAGCTGCTGCCTTAGGATATTGCTTTTGAACTGGCTCTAGCAAGCGGTCGGTTCAACTGTTGTCGTTGCAGGAAAATCAGTCCGTCTTTGAGAACAGGGTGAGTATAGTGCACACTTCATCCGTGATGTAGGGAGCGGGAAAGCTATAGGTAATATAAATTTTTATGTTCGTTGTGGATTACACTCGTGCTGGCGCATGTTTGATCAGTTATCATGGACAGAAAATGTTTGGTCTCATTGTCAAGTGTCGTTGGTTACGGAGCGAGCGAAGCGAGCGTAGTCTTTCCTTAGATTAACGGAAATTTCTGAGTATGAGCGGCCGGCCGGCCGGCCGGCCGGCCGGCCGTGGTCACGCTTTTGCGAGGCTTATATCTCAGCAACCACTTGACCGATTTACATGCGGTAATTTTTATAGGGTAGCTTCATTCCTTCTACCAAGTATTGGACTATTCCCGATGCATGTGAGTGACCCCTTATGCACGTGCCACGTGCAAAACGAAGAGGTGTCAGTTTTGCAATTGTTGCAATATTTCGGTAACTACTTGGCCGATTGCGCTGAAAGTTGGCATGTAGGTAGGCACCCACTAGGCACTGCATATCCATGTGCCAGAGTTGGGGTGCTGCTGCACGTGCGCACGTGCAGGGGTCGTTTCCAGATCTCGAGAACGGCTGGACCGATTGCGCTCAAATTTGGTACACAGTTAGGGACCGGTTAGTAGGGTGCCGTGCAAAAGCCAGTCGGGACCCATTTTGCACGTGCGCACGTGCAGGGTGCCGCTCCCAGATCTCGAGAACGGCTGGGCCGATTGTGCTCAAATTTGGCAAATCGCTAGAGACCGGTTAGTAGGGTGCCGTACACAAGTCAGTTGGAGGTACCCCCTCGAAATTTCGCACGTGCAAGGCTCACCCTCTCGCTCGCTCCGTTAGTCGCCCCAAAAGGCGCTATACTGGTTGCATTGTAGGCTTGAAACCTGAATTACCAGGCATACCATGTGAAATGTCAGATGTGGGTTATTTCTTAGTGATTTTTAGTGTGTCCCAGACTTTGATTAATTACCTCTTGGTCATTTTCAGATGCTCTCTTCGCACAGTGGTGAACCGCCCGACCAGATGCCAGCCGTCTACATAATTTCGCGGCGGCTCTCTGAAGCCCGTGACGGCACATGGACACACTGTCCGCAGAGGAGCCGACACGAACAAGGCGCAGGCCTGCTATAATGACTGTGAACACCGGAAGTGAGTCCGCTGTGCCAGCGCCTTGCAGCGGCGCTAAGATGTTGGCCGACGCCACGAATGTGCTGGCCAGGCTGTGAATTTGTAAAAATTTGACCTGTGTGCAACCAGTAAATTTGTGAATATATTTCAGTGTCCAATGTAATTCATTTTGTCGTGCATGCATTATAAATGTTGAATTGGAGAATAATGAAGAGGCGAGGGGGTTGCGGTGGCGCAAGCAAAGTGGTCGCATCTGCATAACAGCAATCTGCGGTTATAAGACTGCGGTTAGTATGTCAGATACCTACGGTATTCCCGAACCGGCCGTGCGGGCCGAGTTGGGACATCCCGATCGGGATCGGAGTTCATCGCTTGTTAAAATGCCATAAGGCGGTTCGGATGCGTGCGGGATTTCCGAACCGGTTGTGCGGAGAGATTTGGGGAATCCCGATCGGGATCGGAGTTAAGCGCTTGTTAAAACGTTATAAGGCGGTCCGGATACGTGCGGGATCTCCCAACCGACCGTGCGGGGTATGTTGGGATATCCGGACCGTTCCAGCCCGTACAAAGTGTCTCATTTCCCAATCCTGTCCCACTCCGGTCCCGATCGGGGTGGTGCGGGCTGAGTCCGAAAATCCCGATCGGGAACGGAGTGGGATTGCTGGCTGGGTACGACCCCCCTCGCCGTTTCGCCCCTGGTGGAGCTAGCGCGTCGCGGAAAAAACGAGCGTGTGCGCCGTTACGAGACGCAGAGATTGGTACCCGATTTTAAGGTCCTAGGTCAACCGGTGACCTCTGAGGTCAGGTCAAGTGCCCCAAGGTACGGTTCAGTTTTTGGTGAATAACTTCGCAAAAAATGGCCGCAGAGCCGCGATTTTGGCAGCATCGTGTTTGCCTCGCTCAGGGCGTCGAATGATATACTTTTTGTTCGGGTCAGGTCAACTTTGGATGTTGACCTCAGTTCAAGGTCAGGTCAGCACCCTAAGGTGACGAAGTTGGTCGAAAGGGGTCATGTCGCATATCATTCGATTCGGCAGGTCTTCCTGAGTCCATTGGTGGCTTCCCCGACTCGCTAGCTCAATTTGATCAAGAGTTATTGACGAAAAACTAATATGACCTTGATGACGTCATAAATGACGTCACGCAAGGTCAACATTGCAAAAGTGACGCATCTGACCTTGCAAGGAGTGCATCAAATCACGATTCTGTGCGCTTGAGATAGTGGGAGATCGTTCCCGGCGCCAGAATAGCAGTTCGAATTTTTCCCCATTGACTTATAATGGTGAGGTCACGAAAATGACCTGACCTCATATGACCTTTAGGAAAAATCCGAGATATACAAGTTGTGAGACTCATAATGGATACTAGATCCTGCAAGTTTCATTTTCCTGTGACATCTCCTCTGGCAGTGAGGGCGTTGCGAAGTTGCGACATCTGAAGACCGTGCAGAGGTTCACTTATGACGTCATAGGTCAGTGACCTGACCTGACCCAAAAATGCGGTTGGTGTCAAAAGATCCGGCTTGAATCAAAGGTCAGGTATGCCAAGTTTCAGCTCTCTATCGCCAGCGTGTTCGGAGCTATCGC